ATTTTTTTTTTTACAGAGCCTGTAAAACATATATTATTCTGGGGGGATTCAATATATTTCTAGCCAAAAATGGAGATTTTTAACTTGTGTGTGAAAAGTTAAAAAAAATTCCGCTACAGCCAGAACACATCAAGAGCCTGCAGAGGGCGTAAAAGTATTCAGATTTATTATTGATTCAGTTTTAGGTGAATTGCAATGTGCGTCATCATGTATGAAATGTAACCGGAGAACACGCTACAGTACAGAGGGCGGAATATCATCACGTAATGTAGCATGCAGTTATTACAATCACCACAAGATGACGATGTCATTTACTGCTTGTGGAACCCTCTCAGACAGGAAGTGATGTCATGTAGGAACAGGAAGTGATGTAAGACAAAGACAAGGCGTTATATAAAAGGGAAAGACTGGAGGGAGGGAGGGAGAGAGAGAGAATATCACTGGAGGACACCGAGGAGGTAATAAGATATTATTTTCTATTTACACTCAGTAACCCCCTCCCCCCGTCATGCCCGTCCTCTTCCTCCATTGTCACTGTGATGCCTCATATGGTTTATAGTCCGGATACATCCTAAATATAGAACCATTTATCCAACCGTCCATCCAGAGCTTCCGGTTTATAGACCGGATACGTCCTAAATATAGAACCATTTATCCAATCGTCCATACAGAGCCTCTGGTTTATAGACCGGATATGTCCTAAATATAGAACCATTTATCCAACCGTCCATCCGGAGCCTCTGGTTTATAGACCGGATACATCCTAAATATAGAACCATTTATCCAACCGTCCATCCAGAGCCTCTGGTTTATAGACCGGATACGTCCTAAATATAGAACCATTTATCCAATCGTCCATACAGAGCCTCTGGTTTATAGACCGGATATGTCCTAAATATAGAACCATTTATCCAACCGTCCATCCGGAGCCTCTGGTTTATAGACCGGATACGTCCTAAATATAGAACCATTTATCCAACCGTCCATCCGGAGCCTCTGGTTTATAGACCGGATACGTCCTAAATATAGAACCATTTATCCAACCGTCCATCCAGAGCCTCTGTGTACAGACCGGATACGTCCTAAATATAGAACCATTTATCCAACCGTCCATCCAGATCCTCTGGTTTATAGACCGGATACGTCCTAAATATGGAACCATTTATCCAACCGTCCAGAGCCTCTGGTTTATAGACCGGATATGTCCTAAATATAGAGCCATTTATTCAACTGTCCATCCAGAGCCTCTGGTTTATAGACTGGATACATCCTAAATATAGAACCATTTATCCAACCGTCCATCCAGAGCCTCTGGTTTATAGACATGATACGTCCTAAATATATAGAACCATTTATCCAACCGTCTACCAGAGCCTCAGGTTTATAGACCGGATACGTCCTAAATATAGAACCATTTATCCAACCGTCCATCCAGAGCCTCTGGTTTATAGACCGGATACGTCCTAAATATAGAACCATTTATTCAACCATCCATCCAGAGCCTCTGGTTTATAGACCGGATATGTCCTAAATATAGAGCCATTTATTCAACCGTCCATCCAGAGCCTCTGGTTTATAGACCGGATACATCCTAAATATAGAACCATTTATCCAACCGTCCATCCAGTGCCTCTGGTTTATAGACATGATACGTCCTAAATATAGAACCATTTATCCAACCGTCCATCCAGTGCCTCTGGTTTATAGACCGGATATGTCCTAAATATAGAACCATTTATCCAACCGTCCATCCAGAGCCTCAGGTTTATAGACCGGATACGTCTTAAATATAGAACCATTTATCCAACCGTCCATCCAGAGCCTCTGGTTTATAGACCGGATACGTCCTAAATATAGAACCATTTATTCAACCGTCCATCCAGAGCCTCTGGTTTATAGACCGGATACGTCCTAAATATAGAACCATTTATCCAACCGTCCATCCAGATCCTCTGGTTTATAGACATGATACGTCCTAAATATAGAACCATTTTTCCAACCGTCCATCCAGAGCCTCTGGTTTATAGACCGGATACGTCCTAAATATAGAACCATTTATACTACCGTCCATCTAGAGCCTCTGGTTTATAGACCGGATACGTCCTAAATATAGAGCCATTTATGTCCTAGACATATTTAGAATTCACCCCAAAGCACATTCTTCTACTACTGAGTACAGGGATTCCACATGTACGAGACTTTTCCATGTCTGGATCGATTATGTACCAGACATTGTATCAGCCAATTGTATAAAAACCAATGTATTGTACTGGTGGCCTCGATACGAGCGGTCAGGGAATGTAGCGTCACCTATAGCAGTCTGGGTTCCTACAAGCCAAGCAAGCCCAGCCTCCAGGAATGCTATGTTCACAAACCTGGAAATACAGGAGGCTGAGGAAAGGAAGGACAAAAGAGTTCCTGTGGTTCCAGGCATGCAATTGTCAACAAGGGGACCGTTGTCCCACAGGAACGTTGACAGTCCACCTAGTCAAGTAAATAGGGTTGCTTGTGTGGGGTCCAAGAGGTTAAATGATAAAAACAACGAAAACTGTTAAGACTTTCATTCACAAAGCCTTTGTTTCTGATTGTGTTGCTGTGATTGGTCACAGCAATCACATGGTACCAGACCAATCACAGAGTAGTACACAGTGGCGTCATGAATGGCAGCCTTGTTTACCACTGTGACAGTGATCACTGCGATTGATCACAGCTATCTTCCATACCTCTGTGAGAATATTACCATCCTGTACATCCATTATTCTGAGTGTAAGAAGATGGTTGAGTCTGTATGGCTTGCTCTTGATTTACTCTACACGGCCTACCTCTTCAGGAGCTGAGAGGTCCAAAAACATCATCCCGGAATAGTAAACTAAACCCAAGATATGTAATAAATAACAGTGATGAATAGTGCCCCATCATTGGTATCAGTGGGAGGAATAGTGCCCCATCATTGGTGTCAGTGGGAGGAATAGTGTCCCCTCATTAGTGTCAGTGGGAGGAACAGTGCCCCATCATTGGTATCAGTGGGAGGAACGGTGCCCCATCATTGGTATTAGTAGGAGGAATGGAGCCCCATCATTGGTGTCAGTGGGAGGAATGGTGCCCCATCATTGGTGTCAGTGGGAGGAATAGTGTCCCCTCATTGGTGTCATTGGGAGGAACAGTGCCCCATCATTGGTGTCAGTGGGAGGAATAGTGCCCCATCGTTGGTATCAGTGCGATGAATAGGGCCGCATTGTTGGGGTCAGTGGGAGGAATGGTGTCCCATCATTGGGGTCAATGGGAGGAATGGTGCCCCATCATTGGTGTCAGTGGGAGGAATAGTGTCCCCTCATTGGTGTCATTGGGAGGAACAGTGCCCCATCCTTGGTATCAGTGGGAGGAATAGTGCCCCATCCTTGGTATCAGTGCGATGAATAGGGCCGCATTGTTGGGATCAGTGGGAGGAATGGTGTCCCATCATTGGGGTCAATGGGAGGAATGGTGCCCCATCATTGGGGTCAATGGGAGGAATGGTGCCCCATCATTGGGGTCACTGGGTTGAATAGTGCCCCATCATTGGTGTCAGTGGGAGGAATAGTGTCCCATCATTGGTGTCAGTGGGAGGAATAGTGTCCCATCATTGGTATCAGTGGGAGGAATAGTGCCCCATCATTGGTGTCAATGAGAGGAATAGTGCCCCCCCATAATACTCTTGAATTCTTATATGAGATATTCTTAGGAAATCAACATATACTGTAAGGAACTTCCATCACTACAATTGCCGTGACCACAAGGTCTTCTGTGTCGTAGGTGTAACCCAAACCAGGATTTATGGAACATGTTACACGCTAAATACTATGTACAGCCTTTTGGTGGTGTCAGAAGTCGATCTTGAGACCACCCCCTTCCCCCAATGCTGTACATCAGATGAACTGCAAAGCTTCCTTCTCCAGTATTTTGTCAGGAAGTGAGGTGGAGGGAGGTCCATCACTATTCTTCATGTCCTCAGTGCACCACGATCGGTCCCTAGTATGGTTTGGGTATCTCATCTGGTCCGGTTTATATTCGTTGTTTGCTGGTGAGATTGTTCCCATTTCATGGCCAGAGCTCTGGGAACGTGCTGAATGATCTACGTGAAAATACAAGGCGCACGAAAACAAACCTAACATATATCAAACATTGTGTTTCAGCAGGTGGACAGTATTGGAATTTAAATATGTCGGAGAGGCATCTGATTACATCTCCAGATTGTCCTGCAGGTGATACTGACATATTCTCCAGAAGTAACATTTTACTGGTTGGCAACATCAATGGATCCCTCAAATCTAAGGAATCTTCTGCTAAATCCAATACTATGACTTCAGATGTCCATCTAAGAACAATGGATCCTTCTAATCATGAGGGATCTTCTGATAGATCCCATATTATGACTTCAGATGTCCATCTAAGATCAATGGATCCTTCTAATCCTGAGGAATCCTCTGATAAATCCCATAATATGACTTCAGATGTCCACCTAAGATCAATGGAACCTTCTAATCCTGAGGAATCATCTGATAAATCCCATACTATGACTTCACATGTCCACCTAAAATCATTGGAACTTTCTAATCCTGAGGAATCTTCTGATAAATCCCATACTATTTCTTCAGATGTCCACCTAACATCAATGGATCCTTCTAATCCTGAAGAATCTTCTGATAGATCCCAAACTATGACTTCAGATGCCCACCCAAGATCTATGGATCCTTCTAGTCTTGAGGAACCTTTTGATAAATCCCATACTATGGCTTCAGATGTCCATCTAAATTCTCACAGTGCTCACAGATCAAAAGATCCATCCAATCCCCAGAAATCCTCTTCAAGCCATGAGGGAGCTCACACAGGAGGGAGCTCATTGTCCTGTTTGGTGTGCGGGAAAACATTCACCAAGAAAAAATCACTTCTTAACCACCAGAAATCTCACAAGAATGAGCGTCCTTCATGTTCAGAGTGTGGAAAGTCATTTTCCAATAAAGAAAACCTTGTTGTACACCAGAGAATTCACACTGGTGAGCGTCCCTTTTGCTGTTCAGAGTGCGGAAAATGTTTTTCTGAAAAAGGAAGCCTTCATAAACACCAGAGAATTCATACAGGCGAACGTCCCCTTTCCTGTATAGAGTGTGGGAAATGTTTTCTTAGTAAAGCATCACTTCGTAACCACCAGAGAACTCATACAGGTGAGCGTCCCTATTCCTGTTTAGAGTGTGGGAAATGTTTTTCTGACCAAGGATACCTTCTTAGACACCAAAGAGTTCATACGGGTGAGCGTCCCTATTCCTGTTTCGAGTGCGGGAAATGTTTTTCTGACCAAGGAAACCTTCGTAGACACGAAAGACGTCACACTGGTGAGCGTCCCTATTCATGTTCAGAGTGTGGGAAATGTTTTGCCGAAAAAGGAATCCTCGTTATTCACCAGAGAATTCACTCAGGCGAGCGTCCTTATTCATGTTCAGCGTGCGGGAAATCTTTCGCTCATAAAGGAGAACTTGTTGCTCACCAGAGAATTCACACAGGTGAGCGTCCTTATTCATGTTCAATGTGCGGGAAATGTTTCAACAAAAAAGGAGGCCTTGTTAGACACCAGAGAATTCACACGGGTGAGCGTCCTTTTTCCTGTTCAGAGTGCGGGAAATGTTTCACCGCCAAAGAAACCCTTGTTATCCACCAAAAAATTCACTCAGGCGAGCGCCCCTATTCATGTTCAGCGTGCGGAAAATGTTTCACTCGGAAAGGAGACCTTGTAAAACACCAGAAAAGTCACTCGGGTGAGCGTCCTTTTTCATGTTCGGAGTGCGGGAAATCTTTCGCTCAGAAGGGACACCTTGTTAAACACCAGAGAACTCATTCAGGAGAACGTCCTTATTTATGCACAGAGTGCGGGAAATGTTTCACCGCAAAACACTCACTTCTTGGACACATGACAAGGCACAGCTCAGAGCATCCTAACAACTTTCAGACGGTGGTGAATGTTTTACAGATCACATGAATCTCATTGGAGAGAAGACGCCTGATGACTCTTGACAAATGTACGATGGCTTTTATCGGGGGAACCGTTTAGTCCTCGGGTCTCAAATTTATAAACGAAGGGCCAGTTTATTGTCCTTCAGACTTTAGGGGGGCTGGACTGTGACCAGTGGGAGAAGAAGTGAGTGGGAGTAAACAATGCCCCATTATTGGTATTAACGGGAGGAATAGTGCCCCATCCTTGATGTCAGTGGGAGGAACAGTGCCCCGTCATTGGTATCAGTGGGAGGAATAGTGCCCCATCATTGGTGTCAGTGGGAGGAATAGTGTCCCATCATTGGTGTCAGTGGGAGGAACAGTGCCCCTTCATTGATGTCAGTGGGAGGAACAGTGCCCCTTCATTGGTGTCAGTGGGGTGAACATTGCTCCTTCACTGGTGTCAGTGGGGGGAACATTGCCCCTTCATTGTTGTCAGTGGGAGGAAAAGTGCCCCTTCATTGGTGTCAGTGGGAGGAATAGTGTCCCTTCATTGGTATCAGTGGGATGAATAATGCCCCATCATTGGTGTCAATGGGAGGAATAGTGCCCCATCATTGGTGTCAGTGGGGGAATAGTGCCCCATCATTGGTGTCATTAGGGGGAACAGTGCCCCTTCATTGGTGTCAGTGGGGGGGAATAGTGTCCCATCATTGGTGTCAGTGGGAGAACCAGTGCCCTTTCATTGGTGTCAGTGGGAGGAACAGTGTCCCATCATTGGTGTCAGTAGAAGGAACAGTGCCCCATCATTGGTGTCAGTGGGAGGAACAGTGCCCCTTCATTGGTGTCAGTGGGAGGAACAGTGCCCCTTCATTGGTGTCAGTGGGAAGAACAGTGCCCCTTCATTGGTGTCAGTGGGAGGAACAGCGCCCCTTCATTGGTGTCAGTGGGAGGAACAGCGCCCCTACATTGGTGTCAGTGGGAGGAACAGCGCCCCATTCGTTGGTGTCAGTGGGAGGAACAGTGCCCCATTTGTTGGTGTCAGCGGGAGGAACAGTGCCCCATCGTTGGTGTCAGGGGGGGGAGGAATAGTGCCCCATCGTTGGTGTCAGTGGGAGGAATAGTGCCCCATCGTTGGTGTCAGAGGGGGGGAGGAATAGTGCCCCATCGTTGGTGTCAGTGGGAGGAATAGTGCCCCATCGTTGGTGTCAGTGGGAGGAATAGTGCCCCATCGTTGGTGTCAGTGGGCGAAATAGTGCCCCATCATTGGTGTCAGTGAGAGGAATAGTGTCCCATCATTGGTGTCAGTGGGAGGAATAGTGCCCCATCATTGGTGTCAGTGGAAGGAATAGTGCCCCTTCATTGGTGTCAGTAGAAGGAATAGTGCCCCATCCTTGGTGTCAGTGGGGGGGGAATAGTGCCCCATCATTGGTGTCAGTGGGGGGAATAGTGCCCCATCATTGGTATCAGTGGAAGGAATAGTGCCCCTTCATTGGTGTCAGTGGGGGGGAATAGTGCCCATTCATTGGTGTTAGTGGGGGGGGGGAATAGTGCCCCATCATTTATATACGTCAAAGGACTAGTCACATAGTGGCCAACTATTAGAAACAAATTCCAGGGACACCTTTTATGCTGCGCATCCAGCAAGCCATTGTAGGTACAGACTATACTTTAATTAGGGGCGGGGCATTCATTCAAAATGGGTGTGGTTCTAACAAAGAGGAATATCCAGAACTTGTCGAAAAATGTACTAAATTAAATACTCCACCAGCTAGGAATGGTTCATCAGCGAAACATTTTCTATCCGTTTAGCTGGCTACCACTTTTAAGCTGATTTATATCTGACTTCTGCTGAATTGGCTGAAATTAGAACCAGGGGTGGCCCTGTAGTCACCACCTGGTTTAAAAATTGAAGGGCTTAGCATCAGGGGTCGCAATTTCAACTCCGTGTTTATCTCCAGGGGGCCCGTCTTACATGCTGAATTCCCCCCCCCCCCCCCCAAAATCCCGGAGACAGAATCCAGGTCCCGTCCACCTTGTGTCTCCCAGGACCCCAGCCAAGCTTCTTCCCAGACCCTCAGCCCACACCCACTCCCCGCTCTCATTGGCTGGGGAGAAGCCATGTGTCCCTGAGTTTCTTGAACGGAGTGGAGGATGGTAAGCAGCCTTGGACAAGGAAGTGTGGTCGCAGTGGGCTGACAATGGGGGGGGAAGCTGCTTCTCTGGTGCCGGGAGGAGAGCGCCAACTGAGACCCGGGACAGCTTGGGATGTCCACTCATGTAACAGACACACTGCCCCCTACAGCACCTGGCCTGCCAACACTTACAGAAAAAGGATTTAAAAATGGGGGAGAGGCATGTCATTACCTGGATGGTGCCAATGCGTAATGGGACTATATTGGCATGCAATGTAAGTGGCGGGTGGCCCCAGGTTAACTGTTGCATCGGGGCCCACAAGCTTCAAGCTATGCCTCTGGTCAGTGAGTGCACCCTATGAGATGTATCATCCGATCAGATGCAGTCGCTGTTCGGGTATGCCTTCCACATGCATTAGAGCTTTATGAATTCTTCCCAAGCATCAGGGGTCGCGGGGGTCACAATTTCGATCCTGTGCTTAGCTCTAGGGGGCCTGTCTTACATGCTGAATTCCCCCCCCCCCCCTGCAAGATCCCGGAGACAAAATCCAGGTCCTGGCCACCTTGTGTCTCCCAGGGCCCCAGCCAAGCCACACGAAGTGTAGGGAGTGATGTGGAAGGGGAGACGGAACAAGAGGATTTGGGGGGGGGGGGTGATTTGTTCGGGGGGGTGTGGGAGGAGCCCAGATTTCATTTTGATCTTTTTTTTTTTTTTCATCACTTATGTGAATGCCTTTCATTCATTTCTGAATAATAAAACAATATCAAATGGTTTTATGGTGTTGATTCGATGTGTGAAATCTTCGATGTAACGAATGAGAAGAATGGACACCACGGTCTCATGACACCACGGTCACCTATTCTATGGCATCTCTCCCCGTTGGTTGCCTGTCGCCATGATGACATGGTCAGAGTCCAGGGAAGGTTTCTCCAGGCTCCACTTCAGCTCTGAGGTGTCTCATCATGACACCACGGTCACCCACTCTATGGCATCTCTCCCTGTTGGCTGCTTGTCACCATGATACATGGTCAGAGTCCAGGGAAGGTTTCTCCAGGCTCCACTTCAGCTCTGAGTTGTCTCAGGACACCAGGGAAGCCCAGGAAGAAGGACTCATGAGCTCAGGAAGGATTACCTCTGGTATTGAACCACACAAAGTGTAGGGAGTGATGTGGAAGAGGAGATGGAATAAGAGGAATTGTGTGTGGGGGGGAATGATTTGTTCTGGAGAGGGGGGGGGGGTTGGGATGAGCCCAGGACAACAGAAGGAGCCCAGGAAGAAGCACCACCTTTCAGCCACACTCGGTGTACGGAATGATGTAGAAGGGGAGATGGAATAACAGGATTTGTGCTGGGGGGGAGAGGGATGATTTGTTCTGGAGAGGGGGTGGGGAGGAGCCCAGAACAACAGAAGGAGGAGCCCAGGAAGAAGCACCACCTATCAGCCACACTCGGTGTGGGGAATGATGTAGAAGGGGAAATGGAATAAGAGGATTTGTGCTGGGGGGGGAGCCCACAACAGAAGGAGGAGCCTAGAACAGAAGGAGGAGCCCAGGAAGCAGCACCACCTTTCAGCCACACTCGGTGTAGGGAATGATGCGGAATGGGAGATTGGACTAGGAGGATTTTTGTTGGGGGGGTGGATGATTTGTTCTGGAGGGGGGGTTGAGAGGAGCCCAGAACAACAAAAGGAGGAGCCCAGGAAGAAGCACCATCTTTCAGCCACACTCGGTGTAGGGAATGATGTAGAAGGGGAGATGGAATAAGAGGATTTGTGCTGGGGGGGAATGATTTGTTCTGGGGGGGGGGGTTGGGAGGAGCCCAGAACAACAGGAGGAGCCCAGGAAGAAGCACCACCTTTCAGCCACACAAAGTGTAGGGAATGATGTGGAAGTGCTGGAGGGAAAGATTTGTTCCGGAGAGGGGTGGGAGGAGCCCAAAACAACAGAAGGAGGAGCCAGGAAAAAGCACCACCTTTCAGCCACACTCGGTATAGGGAATGATGTGGAAGGGGAGATTAGAATAGGAGGATTTGTGCTGGGGGTATGATTTGTTCTGGAAGTGGGATTGGGAGGAGCCCAGAACAAAAGAAGGACCATTTTCCAGCCACACTCGGTGAAGGTAATGATGTGAAAGGGGAGATTGGAATAGAAGGATTTGATGCTGGGGGGGATTGTGCTGGGGGGGTGGATGATTTATTCTGGAGGGAGGGGGGGAGATGGAATTTTGGGAGGAGCCCAGAACAACAAAAGGGGGAGCCCAGAACAAAAGAAGAAGACCAGGAAGAAGCACCACCTTTCAGCCACACTTGGTGTAAGGAATGATGTGGAAGAGGAGATTGAAATAGGAAGATTTGTGCTGGGGGGGATGATTTGTTCGGGGGGGG